AGGAAAATGGTGAAGGAACTTTAGCCTCAGCATTATATCAGCCAGATAAACAACTTAATGTTTGTTGGCAATAGTATTCCTGTGGTTTAGAACATGGTTGTAATTTTGTAGATACTAAACCCCTCAGTAGTAGTTGTTGGCACCTTAGGCAGCATCACTGACTTCAAAGTTCTTGGGTACAAAGCTCCTTTTCTGTATCTCACTGGGCACTGGAAGAGACGACTAGAATGAAGTGGATGATTTTCTGAAATTGTGCATGTTGGTGGAAAGCAGAATTACCCCAAGAGCCATCCTGCTTGGCAGGCTGCCTAGGGTAAGACCCAAAAATCACAGCACAGAATGGGGCACTGTTCAACATGCAGTAGGGAAGTATTGCCATGCAATAATGGCAAAAATACCTGTAAATAGAGGAGAAGGGACAGGAAAAAGGATAAAAAGCAACCTGACGAAATGTATTCTATGCATACTTTTATTAATAAAATATAAGTTTTACAGCATATGTCAATGGACAGTGTGCTTAGAGAATTATCTAATTGGATAGTATGACACCAAAGTCAGTAGCTGCTTTTGGTGAAGATAAATTAAACCTCAGATGACATGCAAGGGATCACCACCACTGACAAAACCAAAAATTGTTCTCAAAAACTAGCTGGAAACCCCCTGATTCCATCCCAGCAAGCACAGCTGAGGTCCAAGAGGCAGTTTCACTTGAGTGTAGTATTGCTAGAAGGCTGTGCCTTGTTCTGTGTGAACTCTACCTGTTCAGTCCTGTGTAGGCGTCGCATCTTCACTTCCTTTTGTATCTGTGCTAAGCAACTTTTTAGGTATTCGGTGCATCATTCAGATTATAGATACACACAAGAGCAGCAGTCTCGATACCATGACCCTCAATCTTCCCAAAATAGCAGTCATTAAACCTAGGCCTTTCTTTGCAAAATGGAGATGAACTGTACCACTCTGATGCAAAGGAAGTGTCTAATTATCTCTTTGACCTTGTGATAAGACGAAGCATAAACCTTGGCCCTGGTCCTGTAAACACCTATACACATGATTAATGTTACTCAAGTTGTTTCCTTAACTATTAGCAAGTATGGCCATTTGAGTAAAATTAGTCACATGCTATGCAAAGTAGGAATAGGGCCTACTAGTTTATTCACCCATTGGAAAACAAGCTGCTATCCCTGGGGCAGTTAGATTTTTTACAAGGCTAACAGGTGAAAAAAAAAAAAAAGGTCAAATCCTTACAAAGGCTCATGGTCAGGCATGCATATTACAAGACAAATACTGTATTTAAGAGAACCAGATCTAATAAATATTAGAAATTTTACATTTTCAAACCACTGCACAAGGACTTAAAGAAATTAAGTTATGGTTGCAATAGTAGTTGTTAACAACCCCTAACCCAGCCATAATTTTACAGCAGAAACAGTATCTCAGTTGATCAAATAATAGAGGCATTATAGTAACTACCTATAACTAAGCCACAAATAATTTAAATATAGGTAATTGAAAAGTGAAAATTCTCCCAGTCAAGGTAAGTTCACTACAACTTTAAAATTCATTCTGAACATTTCTGTGAAGGAAGAGTAAACCTAAAAGCACAATTAGCAAAAATACCTGGAGGTAAAAACTCATGAGCCTTATAAAGCATCAATATCTAGTTCATCTTTGGATAAGCCTTATTTGCTTAAGAGTTTAAATCTCTCAAATAACTACAAACACTTATTTCATGCAGCTTCTGTACTCCACATATTTTCTGATCATTGCACCATTTAATGTTTCTGTAAGTGCAAGAACTTTGCAAAGACAAAAGCCAGAAGAAACACTTGCATGGTAAAACTACATTTCCACTCATTTATAGCAATAAAATATGGAAAATAGAGCATCTCAGAATGCAGTGTAGTAATTATCTATGTAATCACTTGGTATTTTGTACTATGTAATATCATACTGCCAAACAAGAATTCAGACAACTTTTTAAAAAGCCACAGGGGACTTTCTACTCTGAACAAGGCATTAAAGGTATTGTATTCTAAAACAAGGCAGTAAAGAAACCAGGACAAAACTAAACATTAAGACATTAGTCCCATAAAGTGGATTTTAAAACCTGAAAATTCTATTCCTGTACCGATTTAAGCAATAGTTTAAAAAACCCAAAAACAAAACCAGCCCCCAAGGATACTGGAACAGTAACTGACCTGTTCAGATTTTGGCAAAATCTGACAGCTGTTTATTGTTTTGAAGTGGAAGTGATCAACACATTCTACAGCTGGTGTTCTTGTCATTCGTGAATGAATGCAGGTGCTTGTGAAATCCCTCCCTCTCTTCATTCCCATGAACAATAATTAATACTGGTTAAAATCATTACAAAAAACATCATTTTATTTTCATGCATCTAAGGTAAAACACAGAGTAGTTGTATAAAGAGGTAGATTAAAAAAAGAAAACAGATTCTCCATTCTTTGTCACTTTTATTCAGTAGTTTTTGTTTTTTGTTTGTTGTTTTTTTTCCTTATTTTCTCTTTTTTGGTGCCAGACATGGCAAGGAGTGATTACAGTCAACTGTTTGTTAAAACATTTGTTGCAACACAGACCCCCTTTACCACTGACCCCAAACGGACCCATTTCCTGTGCTTTATTTTGTGGGGTTTTTTTTCTATACACCACCACCAAGGCTAGGTGGAGGGGGATGAAAGGGAAAGGGGGAGTCCAGGAGGCCAGAAGGAGGAGGAATGCTACAAGCCACAGCAAGAATGAGCTGTATTTAATAAAAAAGGGGGCCACGAATGATACAGTAATGAGGTTACACAATTAAATCCCATAGCATGATTGAAGGCTTTCCCTGTGTTTGACGTCATCACAATGGAAGGCATAAAAAGTGGAGTAAACCGATGTTGATACAGTCCAATCTAGTCCATTAGGCAAGATGGTGCAAGTAGTCATTTAAATTAAAAAGTGCCCTATCCTCACCTAAATGGCTAGCAGACATGGAGAAGAACACAGTGACGGATCAACAGAGCTTTCTCCATGTAGCTATAAAAGTGTGTTGTCATATGGCACATTTTTAAACACTGGAAAGGGGTGCCATAATGGACCTCTCATTCTCTTTCCTTTACAAGTACAAATGCTAGATTCAACTATTTCAACTATGCAGGAAGTGGACTCTTCAGTTAGGAATGCCAAACCTAATTCATTTTGTCTTGAAATATATACAAGTTGTTTGTAGTAGCTACAGCAATGATGTTTTCCTTAGGATGCCAGGCTGTGTGTAGAATCTTCTTGTTGAAGTCTAGGCTGTCAACACTGATTTCATCCTTCTTTCTCTTACCACTGGCACATACTTTACGTGGTTTCAAAACGGTTCGAGGTTTGTTGTTTTCCCGGGATGCCTCTAAGGTGATGTCTCGCTTTGTGTTTCTGTCAAACATTCTGAAGAAGTTGTTGTACGATCCTGTCATGACAATGCTGCAGAAAGGAGGAAGGAAGAAAGTTAGTTCAGTTGTAAACAACCTCTTTTTAGGAAATGTGAGGGTCCCATCTAAGATCATGTCTTATCACATAAGCAGGCATCCCTGCCCATACCTTCTACAATCTAAGGCATTTTTAGAGTTTTAAAACAGATCTTCTTCCTTAACTAGACATTTTAAGGGTCCACACTTTGTTATCAAAGCACTTGAATTTGAATGTCATCTATAAGTTTGCTTCTCATGAACACAGTGATCTAATGAAAGCCAAATACATTGTATTTTTAGCCATGTAATTTGAGTTACACACAAGCTGCATGAAAGTAGGTAGCATCAAACATATCTAGTTTATGACAACACCTGACAGGAGATCCTTATTCTCTATCAACTTTTCAGTAAGACAAGTAGACTTAGAAGCTGCCCTGCCCTTCCTTTGCCTCAAAAAAATAGATACTGAGTTTAAAAAGAATGAAAGTTAAGTCTGACAATACTTATAGGGGTACCATGAGCTGATTTAGATCTAGCAAATAAGCAGTATTATTGGCTGGTCAACCATGCCCAAAAGAGACAAACTTGACAGCTCACTGTAAGAAAGAGAATTCCTAGGTGGCTTTTTCCTACTTTCTAGCTACTTTACTTATTTTTATGTTAAAAAAAAAAAAACAACAACCCAGATTCTTCAACAGGCCCAGTGAGAATTTTTACAGGTAGTGCATACAATCAGACAGCAGGCTTTGACTACACAGACCTTACTGCCATATAAAATAATTTAAGGTCAGATTGTAACAGATGACACAGAAGAAACCCCAACACAACAAATAAAAAACCCCTGCAATCCAACCCAAAAATGTACACGCTAGCAATAACAAATCTAGTGGATATGGGTTATTGGCAGTATTTCACCAGTTAAAGTTTGCAGACAATCTCTAATCCTGCTGGTTCTTGCACCTGCATACTGGAATATTTTCTTGGTATTTAATTCTGGCAAAGTTTACAAAACTCAATTTTGTGTCAAGTTCTCCATCTCCTTAGGATGCCAAGGCAGCTCTCTATAATCCTATGCTACAACATCAAAGGTTAAGAGCTCATACACATACATTGTCTACCAAAGCAAAACACAAATAAAACCAGACAGATATCTGAGGCCATGCTTCAAGCTGTTTTAAGAATAACTTGGAAAGGTCTGAAGTGCACCGAGAGAAGAACTGAACTTGCCTGTCTGATCCATTCCAACAGCATTCAAATTTGTCAAAAATGCAATCGTTCTCATACAGTGAACAAAGTTTACTTCTGAGGTATTCATGCACCTGGAAAAAAATTAGATAGACTGAATAAATGTTGAACTTGCACAGCTGTGAAATAATCTTCACAGATTCTTGTTCCAGAAGTATTTAAGTACATGACAGTGCTTATACTCTATGCACAGGAGCACACATAGCTCCCTCCTCTGACTGTATAGATAAAGAACAAGATGAACACATGCATGAATATATTCTGCTCTAGAGATTTCAAACAAATACAAACAGTAGCAAGTCATGGGGAAAAGAGACATCTCCCAAAACTTGGCAGTTCTTCAGAATGCTTTCCCTCTCTGAGCAGCTATGCCCTCACTATCCTTTTAGTTACCTGACAAGATTTATCAGACTTTGCTTCTTTCTAAAAATCACACTTTGGTGACTGATCTTCCTCCTATGTATGATGAAGAGGATCCCTTCACAAATTTTCTTATCAAGAAACCACCACAGCAATTTTCAGTGCTGGCTAAAAGCATTTTCTGCCAATTAAATGCTTTACCACCCATTTTCTCCAGGAAACAAAAAGAGATCATCAGGTCAACTGAAGACTCTAAAGATTAGAGATGTCCTATCCCATGGCTGAAAATTACCTTTCCGCATTTCCATTGTGCAAGAGGAAGGCTGTTTCATACCCAAACATAGTTTTGGGTCCTGTAATCAGCCTGAAAATAGCAGGATCCTTTAGCACATGTGTGGAACCCACCAATCTCATTGCTTTGCCATACTGATCTAGACAAAAATTTAACTGCCACATTGACTATTAGCATCCTTCAAGGTTTAAATCATCTTCACCAAAATACCTGGTATGTTTCCACAGGTCTATTTTCCATATTTAAATCCCAGATCTTCACTGACAGGTAATCTCTAGTCATCATATATCGACCACTATGGCTAAATTTTACATCAGATATGGAAGAGATGATTTCAGAGAAAAATGATCTGTTGCTAGGATCTTCCGGCTCTTCAAACACTGTATAAAAATAAGATAAGCATTTCACAAGATACATTTATCTTATTTTATCTCTTCCAATACAAGATTCACCCAAATTAGATTAACATTTTCTCAGCTTGCCACATTGAGCCACTCTGCCTGCGTTGAAAAAATAACTTTCAACAAGACAGCCTTATAACTGCCAAACTTTGAAATACTTTATTTTTGTAGGAAGTAAAGGTCAGCTTTCAAATAAGTGAACTACTCACTAATATTTGGAGTCTTCACTCACACATTTAAGATTTCTAGTATCAAATACAGACCAAACAACTAGTATCTGACCTCCTGTAGTCTGCAGAAAGCCACTCCCTAGTCCTGTTGTCTAGGGAAACTCCAACTTAAGATGTTAATAATTTTATTCACTACTATTACTCTGGCAAAAAATGAATCTAATTTAAGATTTATTTAGATTTTAGGCTTTAGATCTATTAAATACACTACAGAAATCTCATGCGAATAAACACACACCATGCAGTGGTTAATATATTCTTATTGAGTGCTTAATGTACCAGCAAAATATCATATATTCTCCAAGAAGATATTAGTCTACAATAAACAATGCAGGACAGAACTTACATTTTGAATGTCTGTCACAGAGTGCTGCTGCTCTCATATCACAGAGTCGGATCGTTCCTTTACTACTGCTGTACACAAATGTATTACAGCTGTTTGGGTGGAACTCTGCAGCTGTTATAACCTCTGTGAGCTCTTCCATGTTGGCAGGCTTAATATCTACAATATCTACAGCATTTTGTTAAGAAATTTTCTCCCGTTTTCACAAAATATTTTTCAGCTTGAAATGTATTCCACAATGCTTTTTCAGGACTGTGGGATCCAGTCAGAAACTGGATAAAACTTAGAATCAAGTCCCACAGTTTGTCAAGAAAGCAAGACCACAACGTTGTATTCTGTATCAGTTTGAAGTTATTTCATTAAGAGCAAAAACCTGCTTAAGTTTTTGCTCCACTTCAGCAGTAATTCTATACTACATAGATGTCACCCAAGTGTTTTCACATAGAACTTTATTTTCCTTAAATACTAATTACACTACTATATTATAACAATAGCATGTGTGATTTCCATTCAGGTTCTTCATGATTTGTCCAACGATCTCTGCTCCCAGCAATGGGATTGAATTCCTGTGCCCTTACTGCCTGCAACATTCACAGCTGCACATACCAGAGGGGTTGGTAGTTACATTAGAAAATAAGGAAGAAACACTGTTAGATAAGGGTGGTAATCCTCTGACTTGCTTCTCACTGCAAGTCAATAAAATTTTCACAACATCCTTGAGTGTAATGCTGCCTTCCAGAACTGCTCATCTCTTGAAACCTTAAACTTTTTTCTCCTTTCAAAAAGTCTGTTCACCATCCAAATGCCTACATCTCCTTATATCACTCATGCTGAGCTATCTCTCCAGAAGCAAAAATCCTTACAGCTACTAAGGAGAAATAACCAGGATATGGAGAAACATATTATTCAAAGAGCTTTTCATGAAAGGCAATAAACCCCAATAGTTTTCTTGTAACCAAACTGTTCCCATCATACAAAACAACACAAAAAAGATACTAAAACTTCTGTCTGTAATTTCTAGGTGCCACAGGTTAATCCGCAAGTCATCTGCGGATAAGTACGTTTCATAATCACTATTAATGGAGATGGAATTGATGTGATACGTGTGAGCATTGGCAAATATTCTTCGTGGACTAGCTTCAACCATGAGGTCCATGGGCCTGAATACTGGCACCTGCAAAATACAACACAAAGGATGCTTGAGACACAAATGTACTACACATTCACACTCCATCTCAGTCCTTCAACACACCAAGCCCATTAAAGTATCTCAAAATCACCTCAGAAGTAAATGTGTCTGCCTACTGGCACCACAGAAAATGTCAAGTTAATCTGAAGGGGCAGTTACCACCAGCCACAGGCTAATCTGTGTGCTGGGGGAGGGAGAGGAGACCTCACTTGAATGAGGCAAATTCACAGAGACTGAACTACTCACCCGTAGTGTTGTAACTGTAGTAGGATCTCTATACCGTCCATCTTCTTCCTTTAAATTATAACCTTCTGGTCTTTTGTCCCTTTCACTGATTTTCCATAATTTTATTGTTTTATCTGAAATAAAACAGTCAGTTTCAAATCAAAGCTCTAGGAAAGATACCACAGTTCATGCACTTCAATATGAAGCCTTCAAACAAGACAGGACCACCTACATGCACCAAAAAAGAAAAAATACTGCTTGAAGAAAACAAGACAAGATAAAAAGCATAAAAAAAGACCTCCTCCACAGCTTGTTCTTTTTATAAAAGTTACATCAAGTTTCAATTAGAATCAGGATTGTTATGAATGACTAATATAAGCTCGCACAGTTAGTTATACACATACAAAGGTACTGAACGACTGCTTAGCTAAGGCCATTTACTGTACAGCAACCAAAGCAGAAATAATAATACACCACCCCATGCTGTGGCACTTCTGTGTCCAGGCAAGCCAGTACAGATAAACAGAAGCACTCTTCTGTAGCCACATCTTTACATACTTGCATTTTAAACCAATTTGCCTAGACAAAAACCTAATAGTGACCCTATGGAACAACAGGTTACCATGCAAAATTAACTTACCATTTATGACTGTAAGTCATAACTTACCATTTGTAGACAATAAAAACTGAGCAGCATTTTTCTGGGGTAACCACCTAATTTTGTTGATCTTCTCTTCAATTTCTAAACTTTTCAAGTAGTCAAACTCTGGTTCATGGCTTTGAAAGGTACTGTAAACATTGTATTCTCCCCTACTGTGAGACTGGGTTTTGTTCTAAAAAGAGAATTAAATGATCAAGATATGTATGCAATGTACAGAATGCTTTTCAAGGCTGCTGGCAGAAGCCAGAACTAGGTATTTATGTAGCAAGATAAACACGCAGATTGCTAAGGCTTCCACATTATTCTTGCCTATTCCAGATTTGCTGCAAGTATCCTTTGGTGCACAACTTTCCTTATTTTAACAAGCCTGTAGAACAGATGAAATGAGGAATATCTCTTTTTCAATAGCTTGATTAGAGCGTCTACTGTTTTGGGCTAAGAAAGCAGCAGAGACAAGACAGTTTCCTGAAGTTTCCAGAAACTCCCCTGAGCCACAGGAACAGCATCTCCAGCAAGTTCTCATATTAATTATGAGCAGCTGAACTTCCAAACTAGTATCTTGCCTAAACATTCTAGGGTTACTATGTTTTCTTTCTTAAAAAACTCAAAAAAGCTTCACACCTCTGCTGAATACATGTTTGACATTAGCAGTTGCCTTTTCAGGATGGAACTGTTTGGAAATCTGAAAAACCTCCAAACTTGCATGATTCCTTTTTCTAAAGCTGGGGTTTAAGCAGTGGCTTCCTTGCACTAATATTGCGCTGCATGGACCGAGCCTCCAACGGATAACATGTCAGAAACCTGGAACCATTTCTGAAATAGTGCTCACCAGGTATACTTGAAATAAATTCAAGCTTTGTTTTGTGAATATATTCCTGTTCCACCTGTTTCAAGAAGTTGCACCATCAGATGCCTTGGGTGTGATATGTTCTTGACTAGGGACTTGCTCCTTCCTTCTCGTGTGTCTCACATCCATTAATCTCAACTCTTAACACCTCACTAAAACATACTTCTTGATATGATCCTTGCTAGCCCACATTTGTCACATTCCTTGTGTAATTTTCTCTTGCTTCATAGCCCTACATTAATACTTGACAAGAATTCTTGTATTTTATAATAAGGAGGGAAAAGTGGACAAAATGCTTAGAAATAAAATTTGGCACTAGAACATTGTACCACACCTGTCTATTCCACTGGCTTTCCCACCCTAGAAAACAGAAGGAACTTTGTTCCAAGTTTCAGTTAGACATAAAAAGTTAAACAGGGTCACTGCCCAGAACAGGCAACTTCTATTGTGCTTTAGGAAATGCTGGTCATGATTCTGGGAACTTTCCTTCAATTCCATATGTAGCATAATGATTGACTCTTAAATATACCTATTGTATTCTAGTGAAATTCTACAGTACTAGAATAATATCTAAAAGCAATACTGTATGAAATCCATCCTTGGGATAAAAGCAGGATTTAAACGATCATCCTGTCTCATCGTGTTCAAAAATCAAAACAAGAAGAGGTGTTGTCCCAAGTGCCTTATGTTAAATTCCAATCTAGGTAATTACAGACTGCCTACGCAAATTCCTCCTTCAGTTTCAATTAGATCCAGTATTCGTTTCCTGCCTGATCCTGATGTCATGTCACTTGCTTCGCATTGCAGAAGAGCTGCCACATTCCAGCCCAGAGTTGGCAGCATCTTGGAAGTGGGCAAAGTTACATGGGCCTGTATAGCTCTGTAGAGAGTGCTTGTATTAGCGTTTTTCTTCCTTTCTGAGTGTAAAGCACTCTGAAATGCAGTGTGGTAGGAGGTGGCACATAAATCCAACTAAAATACCTAAACAGTTGGCTTTTAGATACTCTTTTATATAAAACTGGCTCTAGACAGTAGTTCCTATGGTGTAACTAACTACTAATGCATTAAGGAATCCAGTCCCCATTGCTCATTCCCTAAACACTTAGGAGTAAAATTATACCAAAACCAATTCTGTGCAACTTCATCTGATAGCCCAGGTGGTTCTTACTATGCCTAGATTCACAGATCATAAAGATATGAGCCATGGGTTATGCATCAAAACCAAAAGTAGTCACTGAAAGACAACTGACTTGACAACAGGCAAAAAGCTATTTAAAGCTTTAATCTACATCAAGGTTCTTTCAAGGATGTACACAAAATCTCAAGAGTTTAAACAATACACAAGGAAACGCCACAAGAGTTTATGCCTGGAACTACAGGAAGATTATAGTAAGGCTTCTCTACAGGCTCTGTTCACCTTGGACCCAGAACTTAGGAAGAGGCTGGTCAGTCAGGAACATCCCACTAGATGGCACCAAGTGACCACAGGGATTTTTATTCATAAAGAGAAGGTGCTGCACTCGAATGGCCTGCTTACCAGCAGAAAGCAACTTTTTCTGGGGAGCTGTGGAATTTTTAAGGCTTAGGATTTTTTTAATTGAAACTGAATGAAACACTAAGTAGTAACAGCATTACTTTTTTTGGCAGTGAAATGACAGAACTGCCTTTTTATCCCCCCCAGATATAAATTATAAGCAAGTCATCTTCTAACTACAACCTTAGTTAAAATCAAGCACTCAATCTCAGCTCTCCCACCCTTAATATTGGGAGTAGAGGCCCTGTCCTACCTTTAGGAGGTTGGTCTGTAGAATTATGCGAAAATCAAAAGAGCAAGTATAAAATTAAAAGATACCTTTGCTACCCTTATTTTAACCCATTGATACCATCATGGAAAAGGACATCTTAGATCACATGCTCAATTAAGGGCAACTTTTATTTCCTCAGCTACAGTGAAATCTGAAATAATCACAGCCAAGTAGAGTCCTTTTAAAACAACCAACTTCAGCTTCCCCAAGGTCTTTTTCTGTCTGACCCACCCTTTTTTTGTTTTCACTTTAAACTTTCTAGACCACAGCTAAAGAATGTTTAGAGAGACATACATTTCTATGAGTGTCAGGCAGTTCTCCATAATTTCTTCACTCTTACATTATATAATTTTGATCACTTACTATATAGGCATGAACTTTGTGTGAAGTTTTTTTATAAAAAAACATGATCCTTTTCTTTAAAGAAACAGACATAGGAACAGAGAACACTTAATATACTTCTACATAGTTGGCACTCACCTCCTGCTCCTGTTGAAAGATGACAACTCTACCTCCTTTGTCTCCTGTTGCTAGCAATTCTCCAGAATGGTTAAATTCTACTGTAGAAATTATATCCGCTGCATAGGACAAAACGAAACATGTAAAAAACTTCTAAGTACGAAGTGGCTAAGAAAGTTATAGTAGTAAGTTGAAAAGAAAATATATACTTCAATTTAGATTAAATGTATTTATGTTACAAAACACATAGGGATTTCTTAAAAAATACTGAAGTAATTGTTAAAAGCTGTACATTTGAAAACCAGTTACTAGTTCACAGTGCTAGTTACAAATTCCGTGTTCTGCACAGAATTGTTTTTAAAGGTTTGATATCACTTCTTATGAATGGTTTTCTGTTATGACTGCTACTGTGGGATAATAAAGAAGTGGATTTTCAGTGTGCACTGTACCAGCAGAGAAAGACTGTGCATATACATACATATTCCTACCTTTATTTTCTCCATTCTTTCTGATATTATTTAGATAGAATCATTACCCATATTATCTCAAAAGACTTTGCACATGTTTGACAACTCAAGGGCAAAACATATTACGGTGGAGACACATCAGTCTCTAAGGGATTCAAGGATGTGGAACAAAAACAGCTACACAGAATTAGGAAGTAATTCAAATGCCAACTTCAAATTGCAATACAACTATATTAAACTCATTTTCTGTAGAAGAGACTACGTAAGATTTTCACATATGCAAGTCTTCAGGTTGTTTTGCTTTCATATCAGTCTGATGTAGGTAAACACTACCCACATTTTCTGTTGGGTGGTTTGTTCATTCTCTGCTTTAGAGTTTAAAAAGATCTGGTACCTGCTCTACAGACTGAAAGACTCTGCTAAGCAAAAGATCCTCAGTCTGAATTTAAAGCAGACATTATTGTGCAGCATATCATGGAAGCTATCTTATCATAGACAGCAATAGGGTTATCTCATTCTGAAGTAGTAAAACATGCAGGATTTTCCTCTTACTCATTTTAATACCAAAACAAAACTTACATCATTCCCTAGTTGTCCCAAACCCATGGGTGGTGGCCTCTGAGGGCCAGAGGGCAAGCTGTGCCTTAATAACTGCATTACACAGCAGTTACAAGCATGCAGCCTATCTGTCTGAAACCTGCACAGTACAAAGACAACCGAGACAAGCCGGGCAAACTCAGCTGCAAAATCCTCAGGCAGAAGATGCAGAGTCAGATTCTTGGCACAAACACATATGTACAGCTCAGCTGTATTCGCTATATATACAGCACAAGCAGCCATATAACAAAGGATAAACACAAGATGATCCTATCTCCATTGACCTCCCTTGCCATGATTATCTGGCACTGCTGAAATACAAACAGGCTGAAATTTCTCAAGAACACTGTGTTAAGGATATAAATATAAGCTTGTATGTAAACCAGGATCCACAACACACAGAAAAACCTTTATTTCAGTGCACAGGTTTTTTTCCTGGACTTCAGCCAGTCATTAACATATTTGTGAACAAGATGGAGTGATTTCTCTCACATCTCTAAGATTTAAGACTGCAGAGCTTTCTAGTGAAGAAGATATGGCATTCAATAAGTAACTTTCACTGGTGAACAGGGCATAAAGGATAATGTACAATTAATCAGGAAAAAAATGCAATTAATCAAGTCCAGTATGCACAAAGAGTGGAGCACATGCCAAGCAATCTAATTTTAACTATACCATACAACGCAAAACCACCTTGTTGTAATCCTCTAAAAGGAGAAGAGCTTAAGGAAGTTATCAATTAATTGAAGAAAAACAAAGTAACTCCCCTCTCAAAAGTAAAAAAATACATAGAAAAATTACTATTTTGGAAAACATGGAGGGATTTAACACTGCAAGCTATGATAGCCTTAGAACAGAACAGAAAACACAGCAAGTTATCAGCAGAACAGCAAAGAAAAATCATGATAATACTTTTTTTGGCAAAAGTCACTTAGAAGTTTTTCAAGGTCAAAAATCTTGAAGTTTTGTATCAGGCAGCAACAATAGCCAGAAAAGCCTTAAATTAAGAAATAAACCCTCCGTTTTCTTAGGTCTGCTTATGTAATATATATTGTATTTTATAATAGTACAAGTCTCACATATAGCAGAAAGCTATATATTTTTCTGTAACCGTTCTATACATTCTCACTCTTGGCATTTATTTTAACTTGCAAAAACATCCAAGCTTGGTATCAGTGACCTCCAAGCTGATTAAAGTCCTGCTTTGTCTGTGGGCTCAACTGTGTGAACAAACTTTCAGTTCTAACATCCCCACACCTCCAAGAAGTCCAGCAGGCTCAGTCAGTGGTGACAAAACTCCAGTGCCTGACCGACCCTATGCAGATCTTTTTAAGTACTTGGATCAATTTTACATTAGAAATAAAATACATTCCTTTGCAGCAATCACAACACAATTACTAGTTTTTAAACTCAAGACATCTACAGAATTTCACATGCCTTCTACACTGTAATCTTGGACCCTTCCCTTTCCAAGGACAAACGTGATAAAAAAGTAGGCAGAAAAAAATTCTTCTTAACTAGTCCCAAAATAGGGCTGAGATGCAGATTTTGTACAAAAATCAGTGAGAGCAAAGCAACCAATCATACATTTAAAATCAAATAACTCACCGTTAAGAATACTGTATTCCCATACCTTGGTCAAAGCAAGAGACAGACATCAAGGCACTGGTGTTGAACTGGGCGGATTTAATAGTGTGTGAGAACTGACAAGGGAAGCATTTCATCTTCCGCAGTGCACTGATTCACTTGTGTATTTTCATCTGTATTAACACCCTCGTTGCCAAATAAAATCAGTGTTGTCCTTTTCAAATAGTAACTGTAATTCCCGTGGCAGTTACATGTAGGGTTATTTCAGTCCTCCTGCACCGCAACGGGCAAAAGAGCACCTCTAGAACGCGCTGCTTTCTCCCTGCCTCCTCCCTTTTGTGCATGCTATTTTTGCTACAGTCTCTAGGTGGGAGTCTTGCAAACCCAGACGGTTGCTCTCACTGTCCAAAAGCTTGGCTATTATCCTTCCTCTACGAAAAGAGCACGAGGGAGAAATACCTAAGGGGAGAAGTAGATGTATAGGTGTTCTTTTGTCACCAACACCAATGGCTTTTGGAAATATGATGCCCTCTACTGCTTACTGCTCATTTCAATGCCCTCCTCCAGCATCAGAGAAAAACAGCCACAAAAACCTTATCTGCTAACCATACCCCTCAGAGGACACAGATAGCATCATCTGTTATCAGAAAGTTACCTAAGCCTTGAGAGATCACATTTGTCTCTCTCCTCCCCCCAAGCATCTTGAGACATCTTTGAAATCAGGATGAACCATGACATTTCAAGTGCTGAGATATTTTTATTATTATTTAAAATACTACAGGGCAACATGAAACAAAAGATGAAGACATCATTCTGACAAAACCAAAAAACAGGCCAAAAATTTATGTCTGCATTCCTGTAGTGTGCCTGCAATACCTGGACTAAGTTCCTCCCCCTTGCATAACTTACTATATTTTTTAAAGTACTTATTGGCAAGGTGTATACAGTTCTCTAGTTCCACTTAAATTTCCCTTCATAAACACTTGTTCAAACTGTGAGAACACTTCTGCAACTACAAAATACTTCCAAATAATGGTTTTCAGTGATCTAAAAGCAAAGGGCAGTGGGGGCAAAATGGTCTACATAACTTGAAGTCCATTTACAGTTGTTGCACATGAACATCACCAAGACAATGTTCTACAGCAGGCTGAGTGCAATGCTCTGAATCAGACACACAACTACTGGGCACTTGTATCCCTACCTCAAAGAAACAAAACACAAAACAGCCACACTGAGATGGTGACTTTAAAAATCCCAAACTATCACAAGAGGCTTCAGATCCCTGACCCATCAGCATGAAACAACAGGGCAGGGTCTGCTTTCCCAAGAGTCATCAAAACCTCCTGACAGCTCTCCCAGATACAGCTGCTACCATCTAGTTTGTCACAACTACTGTCACGGTTCCTTTTTCTTCTACACATGATCTGTATTTTCACAACCTGCTCTAAGCTTTTTATGCATTGCTTCAAAGATAAAACTTAACTTTAAGTGCTCCAAAAGAAATCAAAACCACAGCAAGATCTGGACACTTATCTTCACTAGATTCAAGTAAAAATAGCTTTTCCCATGGTAGACATGGAGACAGGAGACAAAGAAATAAAAACCAAGGTCTCTAGCTTTGACAGAGAATGGGACAAAGGGGAAATAAATTTATCTCAAAGTTTTGATAATGCTTATAGTAACGTGTTCACAGTTCACCATGTGAAGTGGAGACATGCCAGAAGCTCCCAAGCAATTAACCAGTCAGTGACAAACACTTATGCTGATGAACCTTCTCACAGGGGAACAACCACACAACATAAAATTCACTTGTTTCCTAGTGGGCTTCTGAAGATAACCATTTAACCATTTATTTATTTATCTGAAGATAACCATCTTTAGTTGATATTTATTACATCACTTCTTACTGTCTGGAATAGTTCACCTGTTGTGTCAGGCAGGATTCAAATGGTTTGAAAAACTGAGGCCCTCGACCAATGCACTACTGAGAGATGACCAGTTAAAATGAAAATAGGCAGATTATACTGTTCAAAAATAGATGAACAAGGGAATCAAACGTATCTCAAACACCTTTTTCCTCTTTACAGGAAACAATGTTTGAAATAAGAAAAACAGATTAAAAAAAACTTTTGCACACTTTGAGAGCCTTCCACACTTTCCAGTGAATGCTGAAAAAGAACCACACTTGCACTATCACAATAAAGTTTTCTGAAATACTAAAGGGTTGGGCTGAAGTTTGAACACTGTCAACAAGTCTACGGAATAAAATAGATTTATCAATCAAAGCAAGGAAAAAAAACAACCCTGTAATCCAATGACTTAGTTCCAGAAGGCCCACTGTGAATCTGGAAAGCAATTCTGTATTAAATTTGTTTCCAATAATGGAATAAAAGGTATTTTATTAGTACAGAAGAGGCTATCTATTTTAATGTACCATGAACTTTATATAAACTCTGCTTATAAAACAT